TATATATATATATTCCAGCCACTGCACATTTTCCTAATTTAATTTCCTTCATTTTTTACATATAGGGTGTAATAGAGTCAAAAACCAAAGCTAGATATCATTCCTAAATGCAGAATTCTAATGTGATCATAAAAAACTCATCCACAGACGATCCGAAAATACATAAATAAGCTGTAGCCCTTTGAACCATCCATTATTATCTTTACTGAATTTTAAAGCAGCTGAGAAGCGCTGGTTCACTTCAATTCATTACTTTTTTGTGTGATACATATTCAGAGTATGTAAAGCAGGACACAATTTCACAATGAGGTTTGTGGCATTTACAGCTGATTACCATATTTTCCGCACTATAAAGAGCACCGGATTATAAGGCGCACCTTCAATGAATGGCTTTTTTTTTTTTAAATTCATATATAAGGCGCATTATAAGGCACATAGAGTAGAAGCTCCAGTAGAGGCTGGGCTCAGTTAGCATACACCAGATGCAGCTACGCTAAAGAGAACGTCAACAAAACAGTTTTTTCCGAGGCAAAGTCAGTGACGTAGTGTTTTCGTGACAGTTTATCTTTTAACAACAACAATGTATAATAGGTAGTGCAACATTTTTATCAGATAGTGGAGGGGAACTCTTCCTCGATTCAGTAAACACGGAAAAGAAACAGTCTGATTCGTTACGGTAAATCAAACGTTAGCGCAATCACAATATAGGAACTCTGGAAATAGTGAAAAGCAATAACAATACAACAATAAGTTAATGTCAATATTCACAATATGACCAACTTTGTTCACCTGAATAAAATAAAATTAAATGTAAATGCATGAAGTCACATATCCCAGCATGCTTTGCGTGCTACTTCTTCTACAGGAGAAAAGGGAAGCGGCGGATGCTTCCTGTAGTTGCGACTCTATCTTGATCCGCAAGATTTTCGTTTTGGAGAAAACTGAAGTCTTTTAGGTGCGACTTTTAGGTGCGACTTTTAGTGCAGAAAATAGGGTACTCATAAATGTCATTAGTCTTCTGTTTTTAGCATATTGAAAAAAAGATGTAATAGCTGGATTATGCTGTATTATAGGCCGCAGTGTTGAAAGTATGGGGAAAAAGTGTGGACTTATAGTCCGGAATTTACGGTAAACAGATTTAACTGTGTGTTTTTGCTCTCTGTCTGGTTGGGGGAGCTCCTGTTGTGAAAACTGACCCATCACGGACACGTCGTACTCGACCAGCAGCGTGGCTTCCTGCCCGCACTGCTTCAGGATGCTCATGGCCTCCGACAGCGTGCTGCCATGGAGACGGATGCCATCGATGCTCAGCAGCCGATCGCCCGGCTTGATGGTTCCTTCTCTGTAGAGAAGCCACGGGGTTTAGTCTGCACAGACCCGGGACAGAGACACCTCTCCTCTCCTTTCTCCCTCTCCCTCTCAGCCCAGCCTCATCCCATTAACGATGTTACTAACTGGACTCTCTCCCTTTCCCTTAGTTGTGTGATTTCTCCTCCATCACCTCCTCCAGGTGTTCCTGGAGCTGTGGAGTCTGGATCTGTGGTTGGGAGTCTCCTCTAGTGCTGTTATTACTGCTATCATTATCATTACTATCAATATCTTTACCATTTTTCAACCAGTTTATCTGTTAATCTGTATGCTGCCTCCCTCTGTCTCTCTCTCTCTATCTCTCCACTCCAGGTTTTTTCCACTTAAAAGTTAGTTTTTCCTTCCCTGTGTCGCCTAGTGCTGCTCTTGGTGGGAACTGTTGTTCCTCTGTAAATAACTTCAGAGTCGGTCTGACCTGCTCTATTCTCTCTCTCTCGCCCTGTCTCTCTCTCTCTCCCACCCTCTCCATCTCTTTTGCCCCCCCCCCCACTCTCTTTCTGGTTCTTCCCCCCAAAGGCAGTTTTTGCTTCCCTGTGTCTCCTAGTGCTGCTCTTGGTGGGAACTGTTGTTCTTCTGTAAATAACTTAGAGTCTGAGCTGCTCTGTTTGGAAAGTTGGGAGATAACTGTTGATGTGATGTGGGGCTATATAAATAAAGTTTAATTTAATTTAATTGATCCTCAGGGGGTCAGTACCTGTCGGCCGGCCCCCCTGGCCTGATGGTTGTTATGACGATGGGTCGAGACTTGTTCCTGTCCTCGTGGGCTCCACCTGAACACACACAGCTCACGTCACATCCCCGTTTTTATTATCATTTAATATCAATATTATTAGTTTAGGACAGCTACCCACCTCTGATGACGAAGCCAAAGCTGTTCCCTTCTTTGTGGAGCGTCACCTCCACGTTCTTGAACATGACCCCTGACCCCTGCACGGCTGCAGCACATCACAACATCAACACATCAAAATGGCACCAAATGCCCCGTGGGAGCTCAGCCCGGTGAGTTTTGGCGGCGCTTACAGACGGGCGGCAGCTCGAACTCCACCTCCAGCACCACCCGCTCCCCCACGTTCTTCAGCAGGCTGATGATCTCATCGTGCCTGAACTTGGCCAGGTTGATGCCGTTCACCGAGCGGATGTAGTCGCCCACGTTCAGCTGGTCACTCCTGAGTTAAAGAGGAAAACTTTTGATTAATTCAAATCAGTTTCTCCACATATCTCCATAAGTAGCTCATCCATAACTAAACTCCAGAAGACAAAGGGGTGGTCAAGTCAGATGAAGATAAAGCACTGACGTTCCCAGATCTGTAAATCTATAATTAGAGTCCTCATTAGTACAAAACTGGATTAAGAATTTAAATGCACATTTTTCTCCACAGCCCATGTAGCAACCTCTAAATTTGAAATGGTCAGAGGAAGTTCTGCCCCTTTAGTTGAGTAATTAATCAGGAAAAGAGTCCCTCATTGTTGTCAGCTATTTAAAGTGGTTGTCAGGTATATCTAAACTCTTAAATTTTCTTTAAAACCATTCAAACCTTCAGCTCATTCAGAAGGTTAGAGCTTGTCTTGACATTTCTGTTGCAGTTCGCAATTTTTTTCTGTGTGAAAAGACTGTATCACTCCTAATCAGATGCCTGAAACACTTCCACCTGTTTCTTTTCCATGTGGAGGAGAAGAGAGTTTCCTCTCTTATCTCTAAAGGTGAAGCCAGACGCTCTTCAAAGGAAACTCTCACAGGTTAATAGCTGCATGAGAGATAGACCCAAACTATTTATAAACTCATCTGCAATTCAATAAATTGTATCGTTGGAGTTTTTGCCATAAAAAAACGTTTCAAGGACGTATCAGAATGGTAATGTATTAATTTTCAATGGCATTTCATAACATTAGAAAGGTGATTCTGAGGTCCCTGCTCATCTTTCTACTGCTGGTGGGAGCTTCTTGTTTCTCTGGCTGCTCAAAGCTCATAAAAAATGCTTCACTGCCCAATTCCCAACTCTACAAGAGTTCCTGGACAGTGTATGTAGAAGACACAGGCTTTTTTCCGCCTCTGTTCTTTCTTATAACACATTATAAACACCTTGCAGACAAATCTTACTGGAAGCCAATCAAAACAATTGTCAATGTCTGACTTTATAACAGTTATTGGAGTCAGTAGGAGTCATTTCATCCACAATTTCCCAAGAAGATTCCACAAAAAAGTCAAGTTTATGATATGTAAAAAGTGTAAAACATTACAAGTTTTAGGGAACTAAAGCAGTTAATGGCACTTTAAAATGAGTCATGGTGGTTTGTGAGCTGGAACACAGAGGAAACTCGGCGTAAAAGCAGATGAGAAGAGCTTGACTGAGGCAGAATCAGCGGATTCAGACCAAGAGCAGCGTTACCTGGCAGCGATGCCTCCCTGTCGCAGGTTTGAAACCCGGGGCTTCCCATCTTTGTCGATTCCTCCTGAAACCGTCAGTCCGAGCGTGGTCCCCTCCTTTTTCATCAACTCCACCACGGTGCAGCCCCGAAACTCATCTACAAAAACACCACAGGTCACAATCAGCCCGACTCGCCGTCTCCTTATGACATCACCCGGCAGCCCACCAGTCCAGAGCCTTCTTTTCTGTCTCTCTGCCCTGATTTCACAGTTTTCTCTCTTCCTTTTCCCATGCAGAGAAATGAAATAATAATCTGGTCAAACACAGAAGTGAAGTCATCCTCTATTCTGTCATCTATCTATATTTTATCAGGGCCCTGAAATATTTAGTAGAAGGGGCACTTGGAAGAGGGATATTTCAGTACAGACCTGCTACGGTGTGATGTGAGCAGTCCTCAGGTGATAAAACAGAAAGCAGGATTTCCTTCAAATGTTCTCTGAATATTAATGATTCGGGGTTCGAGCGTCTTTCATCTGGGCTGGATTAAGATACCCGGGCCTCGGCAGTGACAATCACCGCCTTCCCTTATCGTCCTCCGACAATTAGGCTTTATTCGGAGAAGCAGTGTCGCTTCCAACCGTTCAGACGCGCCACACTGACTCCCCGTGAGAAAGGAGGTCCCCGTATCTTTGATTCTGCTCAAATGTTTGATGAGCCAGTTCTGAGAGGGCTTCTTTACCAGCTGGCAGAAACTTTACCCTGACTGGAGCTCAAACAAAAAGGGAACAGTTTTATTTCAGGCTACACACTCAACAAGGCACTTTAAGGACTTATTGGGGAGAGTTTCTGAATTTAAGGCTGAACTGGCTCCCAAACCTGGTTTCAAAGTCTCTACACAACTCCTGGTTTAGGTAGCTATTAGATATAATGACGAAGAATAGTTAGATAACAGCATTTCTTTTTCGTCCAACACTCAAAAGATTCTGCTCCAGACCTGGACCTTAATTTTAAACTGTTTAATTGCTTTAAAACCTTTAAAACAAATTAAGAAAAAAGCTCAGAGGACATTTTAACTTGGTTATCAGAGATGGAACTTTCCGCTACAATCAGTAAAGAAAATTTAAGTGGATTTGGTGGAGAAAACTGGCCATAAAAAAGGGACTGAAGGCCATTCAAACATCTTCAGAGAGAGAGTGGAAAACATTAATATATGAATTAAACAGTACAGGACCCAACATGGATCCTTGAGGAACATCCTTTGAAGGACTTGGAGCTTCCAGTGAACATGAGATCCAACAACCTCAGGAAACCTCATCCAGTTCTTCATATTCATAATTTCCATCAGATTTATCACCGCTAACCATTGAGATCAAGTTAGAGCTTTCATTTTCCAATAAGGCTTTTAACCCCAAATAAACCAATCGATTTTTTTGAAGTGGATGACCTCAACCGGTTCACAAACCCTCACCCAGTTTATCCTTTAAAACAGTAAATCCTCGCTCTGTAACCAGAGCAACAGTGTGTTTTCCACTGGTCCTCACAGGCCATCTGAGGCCGCATTCAGACATGTGGGACACCAGCTCCAGGTGGGAGGAAAATAACTGCCAACGCCAGCATCTTCCTGCACGTCCCAGGATGAATCGGCTGTTTGTGGGTCCATGTTCAGCTCTTTTCTTCACTCTTTTGTTTATCTTATCAGCTGGTGGACCTCAAACTCGGCTTATATGAGGGGGGGGGGGTTACCTGGTATACTCTGCCTCCTGATTGCCAGCGCTCCATCAGGAGGTCTCGACCCCGTGGAGTGTTTGGTGTACGGCCCCTCATCTGGAAAGCAAAAGGCCAAAGGTTAGCACTTAAAACAAACTGGTTTAGAGGCTTTTCCCACCTCGACTAGCTCCTTGATCTTGTTTCGGAGCTTTACCAGTTCTGATAACTGTTCTTTAACCATCAGAAACTCACCCAGTGGATCTGTTTTTTTTAACTAGAGCTTTTTATCGGTGGACATCGACTCTTCCTGCCCACAAAATCTATGTTCGAAATCTGATAAGAGCCTCGTCAGATCCTTTAACTTCCTAAAATAACCACTTTATCTTTTAAGAAATTATAAGCAATCGATAATAAATAAAAATAACCCACAAAGAAGGCTTTAAGATTCTCCTCCAACTGGTTACAATTTTTTATTAGCTCCACAGAAGCTTTTGTAAACCCAACAAAGCCATGGACCCGTTTGTTTCTGACCCGTTTGGACCTTCAGATAAAGTGTACCCTGAAACATAAGAGTGGTCTAACTTATCCATTTCCTTCAGGCCTTTGGGCCAAACCTTACTTGATCAACACCTGTTTTTATCCACCTAAAAGCCAGATCAGGACAGTCTGGACATGTGACCAATACAGTAAATGCCCTGACCCATTTGTCAGTTGAACAACTTGGATAATTGTCTTTGTTAGTGGTCCATTAGTCTGTTTATTACTAGCCCTGGGGACCTAACTGCACCTCTACTTAGCTCCAACCTTGAAAAAAGCTCTCATACTGGTTCTGGTTTGCAAAATTCCCCTAAAAAAGTCTGTAAAAAACAACCTGAGAGCACTTTACTGACCCTGAGCACAGGGAGACTGCTTTAAATGGGTACAGGCCTGGACCACCTCATCTTTCAAGTAGATTTAAAGCTCTACGAGCAGTAACTTAAAATAGTTCAACTATTCAGTGTCTCTTTAGAGTTCCAGAAACCTCAACAGTTTCAATACAAATCCAGAAGCTCCATTTTCAGGCTGCATTCAAATGCACTCAAGCTCCTTCCTAGAACAGATTCAGAGAGTTCCCAGAATCTGTTCTGCTCACATAATGCATCTGTACATACCATCATAATCAGACAGAGGAGAGTTTCCATCACAGATATACGTCTGACATTTAACAGAACACGTTTTGTTCTTGGAATTCAGCTTACGCAGATCTTTATAGTGTCAAACAAAGCTCTGAGAACTACCCGCTCTCTTCTTTCTTACCACTTTCCGTCTGTTCTTCAGCTTTTTGAAGATTTTTGCAATTTACAGGGTTTAATTAGCTGATCGAATCCCTCATGTTAAACGTTCTATTGAATGTAACTGTAACAGTCTGATTATAAACATTTGATTGGATTTAGATCCACTTTAGAAATCTGAAACCTGCTCTTTAGATAACAAAAGTCATCCTTTAAGCAGATACTTGGGTCAATTGACCCCTCGCAGAGTAGATTTAGGCTTCCACTGGGCTCTGACTCTTTTCTGTCTGTCTGTGCTTTAGATTTTAATGTAGTATTGCTTTCTTTTGGTCGTCGGTTTTGCTCTAATTTATTCTAATCTTCTGTGGATCTGCTGTTTGGTCCCTGCAGCTCAGCTCAAGAGCACCAAAGAATCTTTAAACACACACGCTCTAGCATTTCCACCATTTAAGAGGACATCACATTAAAGTGTGTTAAATTCAAAGGGGACTGAACTGTAACCAGAGCTGTCCATTTCCAGACTCTAAACCTTCCTAAAGCCAAACATTGTCTTAAAGATATGTGTGTTTTTTTTCCATTTGGCCTTCAAAATTAAATTCCCACTAATGTCAGTCACGTTTGTGTCCCCATAACTTCACTTACACAAAAACAAACACACAAACAGACCGTAGCTAAGTGAAGATGAAAGCTGAGCCTCCTCCTCCTCTCCTATGTAGGACAGCTGCATCCAGCTCCTTCTGCCTGCATCTACTCACTGTTTATTTCTTTATGCACACATATATGGTGAAACCCTGCAGAGCTATGTGCACAACATACATTCATGCATGAGCACAGAGCCGTCCACACAGGTGCTCCACGCTCTGCAGGTGAAATGCTGAATGCCCTGTGGTATGAAAGAGATACTGTGGAGAGGAAGAGAGCTAAGTGGTCTGTAAACAGGACTCGTGGTTGGAAAAAGCCGTAAAGACAGCCGGGCGAGCTGCTGTCTTAGTGACAACAGACACTAAATATGCATTTGTATCCGACACAAGCATTAGCAAACAGAGCAGAAAGCAAAACATGTCTGACATTTATGACACATTCAGGAGAAAACTCAATCTGGGACGTTTATGAGGACGTTTTCAAACCATTTTGAGTCCAAACCAGCTGGAAAACCATGGAAAGAACAAAGGAGCTCAACCAGTGGAGTCTCAGGTCCCGTAAGATAGAAAAGTAACCGCCTCCTGTTTTAGTGTAAATACAGAAAAACAACCAAGACCCCTCTCACGGCGCTTTGGTGATAAAATCGGATTAAACTGAATGTTGAGGAGGATTTCTGACTTTCAAAAAATATTCCCACCGCTAACATTTGAGACTTCACAGCCACAAGCTAAAATGTGTTTTTACTTGTATATTTAATACCCAGCGAGGGTTAGTGTGACACAGGGATGCTCCATTATTAATTTCCTTATTTATAGGGCTCCTCCAGGCATGTTCAAAGATAAGTAAAAACATTCAGCCTGTATCTGACCTGACACAGGGGTGAAGCACGCGTTTAATAAAAAAAAATAAAGATAGCTTTGACCAAGATTTCAAATTCAGGCTTTTCCTCTTTTGTAAGATCACCAGAGCAGCCGCTGGGGCTTCTAAAGGATCATATCAGGGAAAAAGATGCTTAGTTGGGGGATAAAAACACACTGCGCCTCAAAAAGAGGCTGGTGAGCTTCAAATGGTAAAAAATAAATCAATGAATGGATGAATTCCCGGGTTTGATCCCAGGATTCAGGGTCCAACGGGTTCGAGTGTTGGGATTCCTGTAATTAAAAAGGAAGAAGACGGTGGGAGGACTGAGCTCCCTAAAAGGTTTCAGTCAAAGATGGCTCAAGTTTCCCACTTTGGACGCGGCTGCCTTTAAATGAAAAACAGCCGATTCCATTCAGGTTTTAAGGTTAAACAATATCAGTGGAGAAAGACTATTTTCAGACCTGTGACACGGAGAGTGGAAGCCGCAACAAGATGCTAATTTTAGATCAAAGGCAGGTCTTTGTTCTTGACTTATAAGCAGGAAAGATGGAGGCCTCCAAGTTTAATTAACATATTTATGAGGAGATGGACTCCCACCCTTCGGTGTGACATAAGCTACAGAGGAAAGCTCCTTTAATGCTCAAAATATGTCCATTTGAACTGGTTTTCAGCTATGTACATAAGAGAGGACGGTAACACAAATTCCTATGCCGAGTTTAAGGGTTTCACTAACTAATAAAGAGTTGGGAAACGTGAATGAGTCTTTTAGTCATGTGAGAACACAGATAACCTTTTGAAAGCTTCTACAGTGACGCATTTTATTATTTAATGAAAAATATCATCTCATCTTAAATCTGATGGCAGCAAATTGTCCCAAAATGTCAGGAATGCTCCGTGTTTACCACTTAGGAAATCCCCCTGCTCATCAGTTATGGGGAAAAAAGATGCTTCTCCATTTGTGTGTGACTTTGTTAAGCAGCTCACACAATGTTGTGTCGTAAGATGATAGAAAAATGTATTTATACAGCACTTTTCATGAGCTCTGATAAAGAAAACTGTAGGTCCTCAGATGGCAACTTAAAGTATCTATTTCAAGGTTAAATATCCATTTAAATTCTTCTGGTATATTTAGGGTTCTTTTATACGACTCATCCTAAACTTTTAGCCACCTATAAAACACTTAGTCACTGTGGGAGCTTTAATTTGATTCAACTGCTCAAAAAAGGCACGTAAAGATGAGAGTCTGGGCTTTTTGGCTCAGCTACAACCTTTTTATTGTGCCACGGAAAGGTTCTGCCAAGAGGTTGGGAATTTCATCTATTTCTGCATTGATTTTTCCGTCCCTGAGCCAGATGGCAGCGGTTGTTGACACTTAGTACCATCCTCTTAGTCTCCATTGGTTAAAGAAAAAAAAACTAATGTTGAGGCTTAGCTTTGTCTTTTGACCCACTTAGAGAAGAACAGATCAAGATTGACTGTTTGTTTAAAACATCGAAAAGCAGCTAAACTGAAAGTTTCCACAGAAAAAATACTATTTTATTGGCTTTTCCTTTGTCTGACATCCAACAAAATTAGAGATCGGAGATAGCGTACTGATAAATGCAATGATGGGAACAGGATGAATAGCTCTGTTATGTTTAAAACAGCAGCCACACATGTCGGAGCCTGTGGGAAAACACACAACCGGTGCAGGAACATGGCTGAAGTGAGCCGTGTGCACAGCGGTCTCCACTCATCCTCCAACAAACAGAATCCAGCCTTCTCTTCCTGTAAAAGCTGCGTGTCACATGTCCCGGTTTTAAAAAGTCCCTTTATTTGCAGGCAGCTGCTGCCTTGTGACCGCCGTTAGTCTGTTGTTGCTAATTCGGTGGAATCTCATGCTGTCGACTGAGGTGAGGCTTTCTATCTGTTTCACATCAACTAATGACTCTAATGTTCCCATTAAAGGTGAGCGGAAACTAATGCTCTTTAGAATAGCTCGCAAACAGATTAACTGAAAGGTCAGTTCGGCGTCTAAGATGAAATTCCACCACTGTTTGTCTAATAATTTCAGTTTTGAATTCATTCACGTCTAACTGGACTGATTTTGTGAGGGAGCTCTACTGTAAGGATGTTATACAATCTGGGTTGTATCATTCAATTGGATCCTGGTAAAGCATAACGGGAGACTTCAGATATGTAAAAAAGAAAAGAAAAAGGTCAAAAGGCAACATTTTTTGTACTGTGTTTTAGAAAAAAATGTAATGAATTGAAATTATGGCTCTTTCCATGAGTAAAAAATGTCAGATTGAACTAAAGATTGTAGTTTTTGTGCATTTTGATGCACTTTTGATGTTTAAATTT